TGTTGAAGAAGCTAACAAATAATTTCAAAAACTCAACTATCAAAATATAATGGTAGCAAATTTTTAAAATCATGCATAGATATAATGTTCTATATTAATTGGACATACTGAATGTAAACTAGGTATAGTTGCTGCAATCGATAATATATTTTGTTGCTTTTTCATATCACACATTTTCATCATAACAAAAAACCATTTTTGTTTTTTTTTTTTTTTTAAATAACAAAAAACCATCAATACCGCTACTCATATTATGGGCACCTATGTATACTTAAATCTCATAATGATGTTTAAAAATACATAGGTATACATCATACTATGAGTAGTGGTTGTGACCGTATTTTATTAGGTATGATGAAAAGAAGTTGCAAACTAAATTATCGTGGAACCAGTGGCGGATACAGGGGGAGGGCCCACGGGGCCCGGGCCCCCCCTAAAGTCTGTGAATTGTGTAAAATATTTGGGCTTTTGGGTTAAAAATGGCGCCCTAAAAAACATATTATACATTGCTTTTCATTTTGGGCCCCCCCTAAAATAAATTCCTGTATCCGCCCATGCGTGGAACTATATTTTAATTTATTTTTATCTACAGTAACTATTACTTATTTTTTGTAAGGCGAATTTAAATTTATGGGCCATCCATAAATTTACACCGTAATAAATTGAAATATGCAAAAGTGAGTTTAGGTAAGATTAGAATTAGGTTTTAGTTGGTTTTGCATTAATAAAAATATAGCCCTAATCTCAACTTAACCTAAACTGACCTTTTTTGCATATTTCGGGCTCTTACGTGGGTAACCCTACGTTTAACCAATTCGGGCTTTTACAGTAACATAATACTCATTCTGATTGGTTTAATCTGGCTCCATAATGAAACTGTGGGTTCCAGGTGCTATTGCAAATTAATGTCATTAATTCTATGTATATACATACCTCACATTTCTATATAGTGTAGTGACGGTGATTGTGACCATTCATGAATCCGCACACGTCCATCTCCATCATTAATATTTTTCTTACTAAATTCTTCACTTTTATAAAAAGCCATCACGATAAAATTCAAATATCAAAATTGTGTTCACAATGTTCACTATACGTATCTGGAATATACCCTACTGGCAAGCAAAACCTTGGGTCGGCGTTTACATGTATAGGAGTGAATCGCTATGACAATCTACTAAGTCGGAGAGAGCCAAAATACGAACTATTTATTATATAATCACTTTAATATGACGCTAGATTCCACGCGCTTGGGAAAATAATTGCCTTCTGTCTTTATTCAGTACATCTTATTTTACGTTTCGTACACACGAAAATCGGCACCCAAGACCAGTAATGCCGACCCTAGTATTTGCGAATACGTTAGACTGCCAACGATACGTTAGACTGCCAGAATGCTGACGTCGCGAATGTCAAATTGCTTTCCAAACAAGGTTTAGTTCTTTTATATTTCTATTGAGCTCTTCCAAATGACGTTACAAGTTAATATAGAATGTAAAAAACAGGCGATTGCCGACTACCGCCGAATTTTGTGTTTGGTATTTTCAATACGCCTATGATGGTTGCGTATGTTGCAAAATCTGTGAATTTTTTTATGTAGAGAGCTCTTAGACTATTACTGTTTACTTGCTTTGAAAATAAATTTTGTTAGCATTTGGATAGGTATCAATTATTAGTATGATACTATTTTATTCGATGCGGCATCGATAAAGGACATTCTATTGCTATATGGTTTTTCAAACGTCTTTCAAATACATTGTATTTTTTATTTCATGTATTTTTCCACATGTGATTATTTTAGCCTTACCGTATCGGTAATTCCAGTCCTTAGACACGTCATTCGACCAAACTAGCCGAATAACAAAAACAAAATTGAAAAAATTGTCTAATTTTATTATGTATACAGGGTGTTTCAAGAAACATGGGCCATCCCCCGTGAGGAGATTCCTCAGTAAAAATAAGATTTAATTATTTTTACCTCAGCAATCTTCCTCCTAAACATAGGTCCAATTCTGCTTTGTTTCGTAGCTACAGGATGTTAAAATCTTAATAATCTTTTGATTTATTATAATTGTCTGCCAAGTACTTTTATTGATTAGAATGAAATTTTGAGGGTAAAAGTTACTGTAAGTGCTACATATTTTAATGTTAAAATGTTTCGATAAATTCATCAGGGACGTGCATATGGGTTATCACTGGAATATCTTTAAAAAAACATCTGCGTCACTGACTTTTTTATTTTGATTTCAAAGTTCTGTAGACCGTCTAATGCCAATTAAAAGTTATCTCTTGATATTTTGTGGAATTCGGCCTGCTTGAACATAAACGCAATTTTATTACTCACAATTAATAAAATTAAAATAAAATTAATAAATTATATATTTTACCTAATTTATTATTAAATATTATTACTATTAGTTATTTATATTATTAGTCCCACCTACAGCAAAAAATAATTACAAAAAAACTAATTTTAAATTTTTTTAATATTTTGTTACTCTAAAAATATGCATTTCCACACCAATGTTTATAGGAACTTTATTTATAATTTTTGATGGGGAATCAATGAGTACTTATTTAAAACTTTCGCAAGTTAATGATACTATTTTTTTTAAATGTTGCAAGGCTTGTTGAAGGCAAAATATTGTATCAGACTTGTATCAAGGCAAATTAATAAAATTGCGTTTATCTCATCAAGGGGGCTGAAATCGACAATATATCAAGAGACAACTTTCAATCGGCATTAAACTGCTTAAACTATTTCGCTAACAAGAGAAAAAAATCGGTGGCTTACATTCTCTTTTTAGAAAAATATTCCAGTGATAACCCATAAACACGTCCATATAACTTTTACTCTCAAAATTTCATTCAAAACGCTAAAAGTATTTAAAAGAAAATTATAATAAATCGAAAAAATATTAAGACTCTAGAAAACCCTGTAGCTACGAAGCACAGCGCTATCGAACCTATGTGGATATGAAATTGTACATGTTTTTTGAAACACTCTAGAACTCTGTAGAACACTGTAGAACTCTGTAGAACACTGTAGTTCTCGTGAATGCGACTGAACTCTATGTTATATTAACTCTTTTAGTTCAGTCATTGGGGATTTTTGCTTGGAAAAAAGTCCGGAAGTTTTGAAACTTTGCAGGTTTATAGGTTTTGGGGTCCCTAACTAAAATCCATAAAATGCACATCTCCCGATTTGCCGCCGGCGCCGCCATCTTGCCAAGATGGCGCCCAAAATCGGTATTTTGTAAATATCTCAAAAACTATGCGTTTTTCGTAAAAATTTCAGGAGATCAAAATTAAAAAGAATAATATCTTATAAAAAAGGTTCTATGAAAATTTTCGCTAAAGTCAACCGTTTAGGCACAAAATCCATGGAAATTTTACAATTTTTGCCTAAAATATGATACCTATTATATGTATAGTCGATTTTCCGAAATCAAATGTCGATTAGGGTTCACTAAAACTAGTTTTAGTTTAGTTTCTTCAATTTTGTCATAAAACAGTGGCTTATCATTAATTCGCTCATTAATTTATGAATAATTAATTTAAATTTATTAAAATGTGTACTTGTTTCCACACCACCCAAGAGGTAAAGTACATGACGCGTTTATTTTAACGTGGTCTCCCCGGAAGCCTACTCCACTAGGTAAATTAAAAGCTTTAACTTATCTGCACGACCGACCTGGCTCATTGATGTCAAAGTCGATCGTGTCTGCTATGCTGGGCTCATCAGGGTGGTCTCTCAATTCGTCCAACTCTTCATCTTCAGCCGCCAGAGGGATATCTACATACAAGTCCTCTTCATCGGATTCGTCGAGTGACACTTCAGTAACGTTGTCGCAGGATTTCCCAATGCAGTATGCACAAATCATAGAACATTTTTAATCCTGCTTTTCTGCATACGCAGGCTTTTCCATAGTTGTGGGTTTTGCATATACAGGATAAAAATGCCAATAGGGATTTTGGAGCTGGATCTGTCAACGTTGTGACTGGAGTAATGCCTGTTTTTGTTTTCTTCCAACTCCATTCTTCGGCATCTTTGATACAACCAGACCAATGCTGAACCTGGTGGTAAGTTCGCAATGAATGCTGTCCAGCACGACAATTAATTCTTTATAAATTAATGATACGCCACTGTTTCATGACAAACTTGAGGAAACTAAACTAAAACTAGTTTAAGTGAACCCTAATCGACATTTGATTTCGGAAAATCGACTATACATAATACATATCATACTTTACGCAAAATTGTTAAATTTCCAGGGATTTTGTGCCTAAACAGTTGACTTTAGCGAAAATTTTCATAAAACCTTTTTTATATGAGGTTTTACTCTCTTTAATTTTTCTCTCTTCAAATTTTTGCGAAAAACGCATAGTTTTCGAGATACTTACAAAATACCGAATTTGGGCGCCATCTTGTTAAGATGGCGGCGCCGGCGGCAAGTCTAGAGATGTGCATTTTATGGATTTTAGTTAGGGACCCCAAAACCTATAAACCTGCAAAGTTTTTCGGACAAGGAAAAGTTTTTCGGCTTTCTATTCCGAACATTTTTCCAAGCAGGCCCCTTTTTTGATCCCCAATGACTGAACTATTATTATTATATTAATTCGTATCGGATATGGTATCGTGATGGTCTTCATCTTAGAGGGTCTTAATTATCTTCAACCATTCTAACATATTTTATTTAATACAAACCTATCCTATGTCGCATCACTCTAAACTTCAACGCTTTTTTACGATTAATTTTTGAGATATTTGTGTTTGAATATAAGCAACATTTTTCGAAACTACTTATTATTAAACAAGTATATTTATCATTATGATCTTAATCACGCATCGGGGACTCCAATAGGACTCTTCCACAATCCATTGTTATGCATTCCGATATTTAGAACAGTATTTTTTGTCTTCTCTATTTTTCAAATTATTCCCAATTACATTACATTCTAAATCGTAAAAATAACACACGCCACTCTTTCTGTTTCAGGAAAACTAAGCCCAAGAGCCACATAATGAAAAGACTCTTAGGCACTAGATTCTTCACCCGTCTCCTGCTTCTAGTCTGTTCTCTAAGTTTGCTCAGCATCCTTCTTCTCAGCAAGTGCGGCCTGGAGAGTTTGAAGTATTCGAACACGGAGGATTCGTCGAACGAAGATCAGCAGTCGTCAGCCTCCGAACTATCCGGTAAATTAGTTGTTAATTAGTTTAGAATAAATTGAACTACGTAGACGGGCGACCGAAGAGTGCAGGGGGAAGGGTGGAAAGTTAGGAGGACCGTTTAGGTCTCTCACTGTTAAACTTGGATGTTAGACGCTCGAACTAGACGGGAAGTTGAAAATTTAATCATTCGGTGCATCACGATGACGCTGGCCGATCTGAATAATGCCTATTTGAGTGTTGTTTAAAATATCAAGTTCAACAGACAACAATATTATATTAGGAATAGATAACTAAATGCAGTAGGTGTTATACAGTGTGCTACAAATTCGAGGTACGAGCATTGGTATATCGGTAACCGTAATAGATACGAATATGGTTAAATTGGGACAAAGTTGCGCTTTGGGATGTTCTCCAAGACCCTATCAAAAAAGTTTTAATAATTTCAAGAATTGCTGAGTTTTTTGGAAAGAACTGATTTTTTTTTCAAAATTAATTTTATTTTTTCCTGTCGTTACTTTTAAGAAAATCAAAAATCTAATTACATATTCTCATGGCAACTTTATAAGGGCTATCTGATAGTATTTTTAGAGTTTCAAATTAACTGATAATTTGTGAGATACAGGGGCCAACTTATTTTTTTTAAATACGGACCTGTATTTTTTATTTCAGATTTTGAAAGAACTTGGTCTCCTGAGTACAATGATATGCCACACTTAATATTTTTTTGTTTGGGACATTTGAACACAATATATTTAAAGTAATTTCAAGTCCGGCTCTGTTTTTTTAATATTTAATCTATTCATCGTTACAATATTGATGAACTTTCAAACATAACAATGACGTAGGGTAAATCATTGAATATGGAAAATCAAATGCAATAAAATAATAAAAAATAATATTTATACAAATGAATACATTACTTCACGTCATTATTTGTAAAAGTGAAATCAATACATGTCAACATTTACAATAAAGAGTACAAAATGCATTAGGAAGTATAAGAAGAATGTTCAAAAAGCTATAAACAAAATTGAACGAAAAATAAATATGTGCAATAGGAAGGGTGGTAACCCTTTCGAACATGTAAAGCATTAGGAACTAGTTTGTAGATGTTGATTTGAGATTTCAAATTAACAATAAAAGAAGTTAAAAATAATATCTTTAAATTGGATATAATTTATTTGAATCTTCCAATTGGCTCGATTTTCCTTATTCAATGCTAATTAGCGCTGATCAATAACGTTGCCATGAATATAATAAGATTAAATAATTTTAAAAAAACCAGAGTCGGAATTATTTTAAATAATAATTAAATACTTTTGGTATTGTTAAGGTACCCAAAAAATAAAAATCAGATAGCCCTAATAAAGTGGTTATGAAAATGTACAATTAGTTTTTCCTTGAAATTTTTAAAACTTTTTTGGCGAAGCGCAACTTTGCCTCAATTTAACCATGTTATCTATTTAACCATGTAATCTATTACGGTTACCGAGATACCAATGCTTTTTACTTTTTTAATTTGGACTTTTTTAATTTGGAGAGTCTTTTTACTTTTTTAATTTGGGCATTATGCCTTTCATGATATCATGACTAATTTTCATTCACATACTAATTCACTAATACTGTAAAAGTAAAATTTCTATTACTGTAGGTACTTACTGTAAATGTTTATAGCAATTTATTTTACGCGATAGCCATAAAAATATGAAAAGGTAATATTTAAAAAGCGATAAAAATACGACTATTTTCTATATAGCCAACAAAATGACGTTTGAGACAGGATACTTGTATTCAGAAAAGGCATGCAGAATAAATATTGAAATGTATTTGATTGAAACAATTTTCCAATTTATCCCAGTTTGGTCGCTTACGATAAGGAATAGCACAATCCCTGGGATCAAACAGATTTTTTATTGTTGGGTCTGAGTGCCAACCGACGACGCCACGCTAGTACATGTTTTATTAGGGAGCATTACTGAATGAATTTATTATAATTATACGTCCATTTCATAGCTCAGTATATTTAGTTCATGTAGTCATATTCTGTGTATCGAAATATAGAAGTCGCCGTTTTTGTAATTTTTATTAAATTCAACGTTAAAAGTAAAGATATATTTATAGAGTTTGTCTCCTATATGTCCTATTTTCGTAACAGACAGTCAGTTGGGTAGCGTGGGTTAGGGGCGCCCGTGGCGGAGAGCCTCTAGGAGAGAGGTTTGCCGCCCCTACAGAATCCGTTCACCGCTTTTATAACAATTTTTGTCGCCCCGCAGGTACTTGGAGGGTAGCTGCCTGGGCCGGCCCGCCCCCACCACCCCCCTTGCTACGCCACTGCAGACAGTTGAGTGGATCTTGTTGCAATTACTCACCAACATTGTCTGTTATCTGTATCTCATTCCAGTATATGGACCAATACTTATTAGATATCAACCTTCACATCAAAATATTAGCAATTACCACACCACATAGAGAAAAATAGCTGAATATACATTTTAATCATTACTATCCATCTTAGTCTTATCTTATTATCATCTAGTCAAATTGCATTTAAAAAAAATATTAGGGGAGAGGTTTTAGGTTAGTTTTGATTTTCACTATACTATTTGATATTCATGTGGGACTTGCAAACAAAATTTATCGAAGGAACATTGAGAATGAAATCGTTTAAAAAATGTAAAAATATATGTCTTATGAGATAATTTTAACGATAGTTGAAAAGCAATCAGCTTTATTGCAACAGTTACATAAAAATATTTATAATTGTTTTTTTTTTTTTGGCAAAATGGCCGAATATCCTATAACTTAGTTGAAAACTGCCAGTTTTCGATTGACCGCGCAAAAACTTACTTTTTCTACTCCAAAACTCTAAACTAATTTGTTATTAAAGACTGATATACCCATAGATTTAGGAAGAACAGATATCACATTTTGCGGTTTAACCCGATCAAACAATGGTAGGTTGACTACGTACTGTAAAAACCAACTGAAATAGAGAAGGCGACCCGATCTACTTTGTTTGATTTGCAGAAAAGGTGACTTTAAAACCTTCACCGGATATCAATAAATCTCAATTTTTTAATTAAAATAATAGTTTATTTTTAAAGGAGCATGCGTAATAATATGTTATTAACCAGAGGATATACGCATTACTATTAAAGGACATGTTTACTGTTTAATGTGCTGAAACGTCTAGAAGTATTGGCAACGTCGCTGCTAGTCTTCCAGAATGAAAATGAGCCGTCCGTCGCACCACCCCTCGCGCCGGCCTTTGGTCCGTTATAGCGTACTACGTTTAGCTTACGGTTTGTTTGAAGTCGGAATCAAGTCCGAAGTGAACTTTTCAGTAGTTTTTGTTTTTCTTTAACGTACTTTTGAATCTGCGAAATTTCAATATGGTACGACAGTGTCAAGTGTTTGGAAAAATAAGCTCAAATTACCCGAATTTGTCTTTTCACAGGTAGGTATTGTTTTGACATTTTATATTTCCGCCCACATAGGCGTCCCACAAGGGAGCCTCTCACAATTAAAATAATTTCTAATTATATTTGTTGAATTTTGATCTATTAAAACAAGAACGTAATAGCCGGCAATTGAATTATAATTCGTCTCAATTACTACCTAACTGTTGTAGATCATAACAAATTAAAAACTTTATTATAAGCCAGAAAGTGACATTTTTTTCTTAAAATTTTTGCAAATTGCATATTTTGGTCATTATATACGATATTCTAAAGGAATTTTGCTCAACAAATAAACAAAGGTGTTTACCCGCCCTTTTTTACATTTACTGCTTTATTATATCTGCCCCTTCGGCCTTGGTTAGACAATTTTTTACCACCGTGCAAATACCTCTTCCTAGAGTTATTTGTACGGTGTGTTTACCTTTTTTTAGAATGGGACGAACTGTAAATAATTTTTGGGCTACTAGTTTTATACATACCTATATACAGAGTGACCCAGGCCTCCAAGAAAGCTTTTTACCTAATACGTTTTTGATTTGTGATTTTTATTTCAATTTTTTACATAAGATTGTTAACCATTGTAACCATTGCACATTTTCAAAATATTTTTGTGAACATACATGGTGATTCAAACCGCAATACATATGCTTAATACAGTTCATGAAGATTGGGACATTTAACTAAAATTTGATTGTCTGATGAAGCTACCTTTAAAAGTAATGGGTTTGTAAGTAAATTTAATATTCATTATTATGCGACAGAAATCCCATATTGTAGCACTCAGATTTGATACTTTTAATGATAAATGCCTTCTATTGAGAGACTAAAAGGTAATTGCCTCATCAAAAAAGGTAAAACGAAAACCTAAACTATCGTTTGAGATTAAACGGGAAGTTCTAAATAATGTTGCCTATTCTAAACAAGAAAAATTTATTTATAAGTTTTATAACATCTCTAATTAAATTTGGTCGAAAAGAATATTTCTGTTTGCTGTAGGTAATTTTCTCAGGGAAAATGCGTAAATAAAAATGACTTTTTAAGTAAAAAAATGTCAAAAGAACAAGTTATTCCAAAAAGGACTGTCCTGTTCAAAAAAAGACAGGTGGCAACCCTAGGTATTTCTGGAATGGAAATTTAATGGCAAATCTACAACTTTAGTTTGAAAATATATTCCGGCCACCTATGTTTACAAAAATTTCTAAAATGTGCTTTACCATTGCCTCCATATTCTGAAAAAAAAATTGAAAGAAAAGTCACTAACCACAAACCTAATATAGAACTGTTTCGGAAGTCTGAGTCACCCTGTAAATATTCAAAAGTAACTGAAAGTTTATATAGAAGTAACTGAAAGTTTAAATTGAAAATCGACGTTGGAGCGATTTTCGAAAACTACCTACTAGCGTTTCAACATAAGTATATATGGGATATTAATTATATTATTATATTAGACCTTATAACAAAACTCATCTGACGAAAAAATGTTAATGTAGTATATTAATATGGAGTAAAAAGTTTACTAATTACTTTACTTTTACTTTACTAATTAAATCCGTTCCAAAAAAC